GCTAGACCTCTAGCCCAACTTTTTCTATTTTTATATCTTGTTTGAAAGAATTCTTACAGGAATAGCAAGCAAAACCCTTTGCATATTACATATGTTGTAGATATTTTTTGATATATAACACTTCTTATATTTCACTGTTTTCTACACTAGCTAATTCTGATGTGACAGGTATCCTCTAGGGGAAGCAGATCTTAGAAGAGTCATTGCAGATAGATCTCTTTATGTACCTTTGTTGGACTCTCTTTCTTACATTTTTATTTCATGTCCTTTTGTTTCTGTCCTCATTTCCTTCTATTCTAGTAAGACATATTTCCTGTGAAATGATAATAGTTTCATTCCCACAGGGCATAATGGATATGTATGAGATTCATATTTGTATCATGAACTAACATTCTTAAGTGCCTACCATGTCCTCTATTGGGTGTTGTGCTAGACATTTCACTGGGTTAATTCATGTTATCCTTGTACAATACAGTAGATATTATTTTCTTCATTTTATTTTCCTTTTTTTTAACCAAGATCTCAATAAAGTTGTTTTTTCCAGAAAAGAAATAGATGTTAAAAAACTTATAACTTGATCAAATTCCTCTTGTGTATCTTAAAAATAAGCAATTAACTAAAGTATCTTACAAATAATTCAAAGGTGTTAATGCCACTGTAATTTATACCCTAAACAGAAAAAATTGCCCAACATTATTATTATTATTATTCTTTTTTTTGGTACCGGGGATTGAACTTGGGTCCTAGCGCTTGCAAGGCAGGCCACTGAACCACTTTGCTAAATCCCCGGCCTCTGCCCAACATTATTTTTAATGAATGTAACAAAACCCAAAACAACTTCTTTGTTGTATTTTTCTATTTTTGCTCAATAATAACACCATAAAAATAATACCTCAAAACTTTATATAAGTTCTTTCTTCCATGAACACATTTATCCTCACAACATCCCTGTGAGGTAGGGAAAAAACTAAGTATTAATTTTGCTGATTTTAGGAGAGGAAACTAAGGTACAAAGAGGTTTAATAACTCACCAGGGTTTCAACAAGTAGAAGGGGGATGGCTTTGGGGGTTGGGATGTCAGGGTAAGTCACATATAAACTTGAGTTTCGGGAACTAGAACACCTTCAAGCTGGGGGATATTTGGCTTTCAAGAAAGAACTACCTCACAGTATCCAAAATTGGAATATTTGTCATTCTCTTAAAGTGATGTTTGGGAGTTCCTTCCTGTATTTTCCATTCTTATAGTAATATAAAAAAATAAATATTAATAGGAAAAAGGAGAGTATGACTTCACCATCACTATACCCAAATGCAAAATTCCTTTATAGTTTCAAGTGCATATTAAAAATAGTAACATAAGTCATAGAAAACTAAATTAGCATGAGGAAATCTCAATCACATTGTGACATAAAAAATAAAAATAGACAAAATCTTATGGAAGATCTTTATCTGAAAAAAAGGGTAGAAAAAGGTGGGTGGGTCATAAGAGCAGAGTATATTTGACAGACTTGTCATGTAGGGACACAATTTTCCTTTAACTAGAGGCTAAACATATTTTACTCTGCCAGTGCTGCTTCTGAAAAGGCCAGAGGTTGCAAGATAGAGAAAAATAATGATCTCTTTACTAGATGCCAAGTGAAATTTCCAGTGTTTCCAGCCATCAGCCTAGGAATGAAGAACCAAGAAATCGGTTGCCACATTCTGTTAAAGTTTGAATCTCCTTGAAAATTCCCATGGTTGTTAGGCCCAGATTCCACTGTAGATATCTTGTCAATTTGGCATCATTCCTGGTGGTTGTTCTATTAATCTTTGCTGTCCTGAAGCTTCCCTCTGGGCAATCCAAGCTTGAGCCACTGCAGCCCAGTCAATCTGGCTTGGATCCTGCTGGTGCTGGAATGACTGCATCCACTGTTGTTGGTTCAAGGGTCACTGCTGCCAAGGTTGTCCTCCTTGATCACACATCTTTTCTCAGAGGCTCACCTTCTGTCTAAAACTTAAGTTGATTCAGACTACAGCTTGAAAGCATAACAGCAAGAAGAGTTATGCCCCACTCTAGTTCAGGAATGCTGCTGCTGCCACCATTCTTGCAATATCTCTTCAAGCCTTTCGATGCTTGTACTTCTACCAACAAGACAAGATGGTCATTTTCTTCATTTTAGGAAATTAAAAAATCATTCAAGTTATATGTCACGGGGTTGGAGATGTAGCTGAGTGGTAGATTGTGCACTTAACATGAGCAAGGCCCTGGGTTTAATCCCTAGACCCCCAAAAGGAAAAAAAAAGCATTTTCTTTTCTGCCTTAACTTTATCAACTTGAGTCTTTTGAAGTAATCTCCATCTTTGCTATGGCGATTCACTTTTAACAGCTGTTTAAGTTGAAAGCCTCAGGGTTCTCCTTGTCTTTTCTTTCATATCCCAAATCTAATCTGTGAGGAACCTGCATGAGATCATTTTTATCTCTGTATCCCTGGCCTAAGGCACTGTATCTTACTTGTGGACAATTTTGATAGTTTCATAACTGGTCTCTGCACCCAGCTCTTACGCTATACTGTTTATTCTCAATTTAACAGTTAAAAGTGATCTGTGCCAGTTAGCTTTCCATTACTGTAACAAAATATCAGATAATCAACTTATAAGGAGGAAAGGTTTGTTTTGGTTCAATTTTGGAGGTTTCAGTACATGGCTGATGGGCTGCTTGTGTATGGGTCTAGAGGAAGGCATTATATCATGGTGGGATCTTGGGGTAGAGGAAACTTTCACTTCATAGTTGGGGAGAGAGGGTGAAAGGAGGGATCTGTCCTGGGTCCCAACAGCTCATGCAAGGGCACACCTCCACAACTGATTGTCAGACTTCCAACTGGGCCCTACCTCCTAAAGGTTCCACCACCTCAATAATACCACGGTTTGGGGACCAACCCTTTAACACATAGACCTTGGGGGATACGTACTCAAACCACAGGATGACATCCAGTGTCAGAGATGTCACTTTTATACACAAAACCCTCAGTGGCTCCCAATTCACCAGGGCAAAAGTCTCACCTGATCTGCAGCACTTCCATGTCTTACATCTGACTTCATCTCCATTCTTCTACCTACCTTCTTGATCGTTCCTAGCACATGCAGGCATATTTCTGTTTCGGGGACTTTTGCATTTGCAGTGCTTTCTACCTAGAAAGTTTTCTGCCCAGAGATCTTGTTCCATGAACACCCCTCATCTGCTTCTGTACCTCTGCTTAATTTTTCTCCATAGCACTTATTCTTTTGGGGTTGCTGGGGATCAAATTCAGGGCCACGTGCATGCTATGCAAGTGTTCTACAGCTGAGCTACATTCAAAGCCACACAACGTTTCTAATCATTTGGTACTGGTTCACATTTTCCTTATTTATCAACTATCCCTCTAGAAGAAAAGCTCCACGAAGGCTAGGATTTTTATGTGTTCCATGAGGTATTCCTAACCCTTTAAAGAGTGCCTACTGTGCCCAAACACTCAATAAATAGATACATGTTGAATAAATGTGTGATTCTTCTACAGCCCAACTACTAGCACAGGCCAATGTGACGCGCTGCACAGAAACTCCCTTCTGATTCCTACTCTAGCTCTACCTCATTCATCCTTCCTTCCCCACTTTATACCTAGGACTCCCTTCTTCACTCCACTTATCACGAGTGAAAGCTGGTGAATCTTGAGAAATAAAGCATGTTTATCCTGTGTCCCTGCTGCCACCCACAAGCACCGCGGTGGTGGTAGACAGTGGCCTAAGAAAGTGTGAAATCTGCATATTACTATGGTTGCAAAGGAGAACTGAAACCAGATTCAGCTCATTTTGGTTCTCTCCGGATGCCATTCACCCAGAAAGGAAGCCAGCTCCTTCCTCCAAAGGAGACTCTGGTGAGGGGCCAGGAGGGTGCGGTTGCGGTCGGAAGCCTCCACTGCACCTCAGCCTTCGCATGCCCCAGCGCTCAGATTGAGGCTCACCTCAGGTTTCAGCCGCACAGACCACAGGGCCGTGAAAATGTCGAGAGAGCCTCTACCCGGGTTTCGGATTCCTCCCGCAGGATCGGGAGTCTGACTTCGGCCGGGAACGTCGGGGGCGTGGCGGACAGAAGGGCCCGGGCCAGGCAGCGGGGCCGAGGCGCCGGCACTCACCTGCACTCCAGCTCTGCGCGCTGCTCAGACTTGGGCCGCGAGTTCCTCAGTCTCTCAGACCAGCCGGGAGACTCAGAGGTTGCGCTTAAAAAGCAAAACAGCAACCCCTCGTCCTGAGATCACATTCCGCCCTGCCCACTTCAGGGGGTTATTTATTGCTTTATTACTTATTCATTTTGGCGCTGGGTGTGAAGAGGTGAAGTTCTGGCGAAAGGCGAACCCTCAAGGGCTAGGCGTCCGTGGTCGCGCGCCAGTCCAAGTTTCGGTGGAAACTTTCTCTCAGAGGCTCCGCCCCCTTCACCGTGGAAACCCGAACGCGCCGCCTCGTGCGCCGCCCGAGTCCTCAGCGCACCTGGCAGACAAGCTACAAGAGGTGGGGGGCGGGGCCGGCCGGCAG